AACGCGGGACGCCCCCGGGCCACGCACCAACACCAGCCTTCGCCTCGGCTCCTCAGGGGGAATTTCACCTTCCACTTCTTTTTCTTTTTTTTTTGTATTTCAAAGGGATGGCAGACCCTCGGTAAGCACACCAGGAAGACCCGGTGGCACCCGGTAAAACACGTCTGCCAGAGCCAGGCATTGGCACAGAAACCATTAACGCCATCGTTAAACACACGGCGCCTTCACGGGGCAGTAAGACCTGAGCCCCCCCCCCCCGACTGCTCTCTCCCCATGCAGCTTTAGCCAAAATAGTCTTATGTTTGTACAACTGATGAGTTGTCACAGAACACACGAGTGTGCTCACACACACCCCCTACGTACACACACACACACAGAAGTGGGAAGACAGATGGGAAACAGAGTAATCACACCCTCCTGTGAATTTACGTGTGAACTGTCAGGAATTTGGGCTTTTAGGTTAAATACCCGTGAGGCTGGCACCCAGAGGATGGCACTGGTTCAGTTCCCACTCAGCAGGGCAGTGTGTCAGCAGTGCTGGTTCATCTGGGGGGTTATCTTCACAGCTACCCAGGTCTTGATTGTTGAGCCTTTTTGGAACACTCCCCTCTCAGGATGTATCTATCCATGGTTTTCCCTCCCACAAAACCCAAGCCATAAAGGCCAGGGGGAGGGCTGGGGCAAGAGGGTTTGGACCTAGGTCTTTAATAAATTAAAACTGGGTTGCAATACACCTAAAGATTAAAAGAAAAAATCACCTCCCTTAACAGTTTGGGTTTTTTTCTCTTTAAATGTAACAGCTTTGTCTTCCACACTTGGTTCTGCAGGGGCACTGTGGAAACAAGCAGCTATTTCTAAGAGACACCCCCCTGAGATGCAATCCATGCCAGGGATCCGTGCTGATAACCCCTGTGTCACACACAGCCTGGGCCCTGCAGCGCCAGGAGAGCTGGGGAACCTCTGCCCTTCACCAACAGAGCCAGCGGAGGGAGGGGAAACGCTCCCACCTCACAGTCCCTCTGCACAGCACTGAGCTGCACAGCACTGAGCTGCACAGCCTGGGCTCACTGTCTGCCTGCGTTTATTGTGCACGTTACCCAATATTACTATCAGCAGCCATCTGTGTTTCAATAGACCTTCTTGTAAGGCCAAATAAAAAGTTAAGGAAATCTTTTAAAAATTCTTGTTTTGGCTCAGGTTACTGCCCTGTCCAGTCCTTGCACAGATCACAGACGTGTCCACAAGGTGAAGGATGTGTCACTGGGAGAATTAACTAACTGCTCCACTGGAAGCAGAGCGTTCACAAACAGCTCCAAACGCAGCTCTTCTGGTAACTGTACAGGAGTTGACTGGAAACCAGGGAACCTGCCTCCTAAAGTTCAAAGAATAAATGGCCAGTATGTGTTCCCTACCCTTACAGCAAGCCTGGTCCAGATTTATTTCCCTACTAAACCTTCCCTTTGTAAAAAGCGGTTTCAATAAATGGTAAAATGCATCTTCCCAGCAGAAACAAGAACTGGCAATCCATGAGTCAGCCACAGGAACTGATGACTCAGCAGATCAGGAACTGCTCAGACCCACTCTGGGCTCAGCTCCTTGCTGAGGGGCACTCTGCTTCCCACAGCCCACCTCCAGGGCACAGTGCCCACACCAGGCCTCTCTGTGCAAGGGATGTGGGGTTCCCATTGTTAGCTACGGATACGAGTGTGCCAAATATGGATCCTAGAACCTAAACCACCTGGAACATGATTTGGCAAAGATTTGTCATCTCTATCATTACCAGTCATCTATCCCACCAAGCTCAGGAGCCAGCTCAGGCAAATTATAGTAAGACAAGACCACACTGAATGAAGGATAGTTTCTAAAACCAACTGTCAATAAAAAGCATAAGACAACTGCACACCGATGAACTAATTCCAGCCCATCACTCATCTGTGGCCTGCAACATGACGACATCAAGACTCTCCAATCTCTCACCCCCCAAGAGTGGTACCTGCTCTGGAGAAGCTTTTCTCCAATCACACTTTCTTCAGAGCTGGCCCCACTGACTGATCCCAAGTGCTGGGATGTGCCCAGTGGTCCCAGCCCCGCCGCACAGCACTACAGCCTGTGTGGCACAAGCTCCACAGAAGTTATACAAACTGACACCAATGGTGTTTGTGAGCTGAAAGGAACCATTCCTGACAAAAAGAGGCTGCTTATTGTGGGAAAGGCACAATTCAGTTCTTTCTGATCGTTCTGTCACACATAACTAGGAGGTGCCAACACTTCAAAGCCAGACTTCAAACACATCACTACAGTCACCTACAAGTGATTTGGCCTGTGAATGGCTTTCATATACTGCATAATTGATGTAAAAACCACCACCACCTTCCAGGGCCAGACCCTTCTTCACACCAAGGGAATGTGAAGTCCCTCACTCCTTCCCAAAGGCTGCTCCTCAGAGCCCAACATCACAAAAGGCTGCAAACCCCACGCGGGGTGACAACCCAGAGAGCTGTGGGGCAGTCACTCCGTGCTGCAAACCCCACGCGGGGGGACAACCCAGAGAGCTGTGGGGCAGTCACTCCGTGCTGCAAACCCCACGCGGGGGGACAACCCAGAGAGCTGTGGGGCAGTCACTCCGTGCTGCAAACCCCACCCGGGGGGACAACCCAGAGAGCTGTGGGGCAGTCACTCCGTGCACACTCATCTGGAACTCTGCTGTTTGCACTGCAACCAGAGTGAAAACCAGTCACTACTTACAAGTTCTATTGCTCTAACAACATACATTTTTATGGATTTTTTTTTTTTTTTTTGGTGTGTGTGTATTGGATACATCAAGAAGGCTGTTTTCAAAATAAGAGCTCAAGGTTTCAGTAGGACAAGCATAGACTTTGGCTCTCCTTCAGGAAAGGAGGGAATAGAGAAAAGGAGCGGGGCTTTGGAAACCTTTAAAGACATAAAGCACAGCACTTTTAGATCTGTGGAGCAGAGGAGGAAGACAACAAGTACTTCTGAACAAAGGGAACTTAATAAAATAGGATAGCACATTTTTCCTTATAAATACATAAAAAGATTAACATGTTCTTATTGGAAAACAGAACATGGAAAGCCACAAAAAAAATTTCTTACTTTTCTTCTTACATGTGAACAGAATTCTCATATAGTTCTTCAAATTGATACTTTAAAAAAATCCTAGGATGTAATTGGAAAGTCCAGTTTGGATATTACTGTTGGAGAGTTTAAGGGATCCAGACTTTTTGCACTTTTAACTAGGAATTTATAAGTTCCTCGTGCTGTTTCCCCTTAGAACACAGTATCCCAGTTACTGTCACACATGAAAGAAATGCCTCCACAGAGAAACTTTTGAAGGCCAAGTTCTTCGTGGCTATTTCCCCGTGGGTAACTATTATCCTGCTAAGTGATTTAAATAATCATTTATCTAGTAGGATTTACAAGAAAAATAACATTGAACCACTTCTGCTACCAAAGTTACTTAACACATTTTTACCTTAACTTCAAATATTTCCATCAGAGATTGAAGAGTATTTCATTGAATGGCACAGTTTTAGGTACCTGCTATTTTTATATACAGTATATCTATTTGTTCATAAATAACGGTGTAACCAGAAGATTGCACTCAGAAGATGACACTATGATGTTCCAATAGGTGTGCAGCATGAGGTGTACCTGGAGATGTGCTCTAGCTTTCCATGCAGCAGAGCAGAGCAGACACTTCTCATTGTGCACCTTCTTTCTGTTTTTAAGAGCCCATGCAGCAGAGCAGAGCAGACACTTCTCACTGCGCACTTTCTTTCTGTTTTTAAGAGGGTGTTCACACCCCCATCCTTCGAACGCCGCACTCGCAGCAGAACTTGGCCCATTCCACGGGGTACCTGGTCCCACACTCGTGGCAGAACTTGGATACCTGGACAGAATTCCCCTCGCTGCCTTTGGCATGGCCTCCATTCACCGAGGACGGGTGCTCAGAACCAATTCTACCGTCAGGTCTGAAAAGCCCCAGATAAAGAACACTCTCTGTAACTCAGTTCAGTGTCACTTGATGCAAAACAGTATAATCCTTGCAGGAAATTACTGCCATTGCTTACACTTCCTAATTAGTGTTATGCTTTATAACTCTACCTAGGCTCTCCTACCCATCTCCAGACACCCACCTTCCCCTCCCTGCAAGAAAACAATAAAACCCAAAATTTTAGGAGCAGGATCAAATATTTGATTTACTACTTTGATTAACTAGTGTTCGAAAACTTAAAACTTAGCTTGTCAAAACAAGAAAGGCTAAAACAGCGATATATTTTTTCTCCATTTCTTTGTGTGCTCAGTGTGCACACACCATTCAACTGACCCCCTCACTTCCCATCTGTCCCATTTGTCAGATCATCCACTTTTTTCTTTTTTCCCCAACAACTTCTAAGAGGTTTTTGACACTTCTAACACTCTTCTGTGCACATCTGAAACAGCTGATGACAAAGGTGTTCAGTTAGACGATAAATATGCAAAATATATTGAATATCTCAAACATGCCAAATAACATTGACCATGAGTTACCCACTAACCGCAGAGGACCGCATTGTCCCCAACACCTTTTGCAGTGAGCACTCCCCTTTACTGAAGGCCCTATTGCTGAAAAAAATCCACTGGGTTAGAGCTACCTTGAGTAACTGTCTGAGTTGCTGGTTTTCCTTTTGTTTATGAGAGCACCTGTGCTCATGGTCCTCGACACACTGGGAGGGGTTGATGTCCGTGTTTTGGTCGCACCTCTAAAACAGAATAAACATTTGAAGAATTACAGACAAGAATAGGTATTTACAAATGATATGCATAAAATGAGTTCATCAATCAACACATCAATTTATGAGAAGTATAACTTAGTTCCTACCCAGAGCAGGCAGAAGAGCTTTGCCTGCTTTGGACCCTTCCTGTCCATGAGTTTCACCTGCTCTCACACCAAACACGGGCAGCTCCTGCCCCATTGGTCTTTAGTGTGTTCTAATGTCCACCTGGGCAGCCTACATGTCACCTTCTACGACTGACAGGGATTTCAGAGAAACAGATAACGCTGACTGCAGGTCCTCAGGTTTAAAAGCATGTAGAAAGGATAACATTCTCAATACTCTGACAGGGATTTCAGAGAAACAGATAACGCTGACTGCAGGTCCTCAGGTTTAAAAGCATGTAGAAATAGCCAATTGTAGTTATAGCCAATATGAAGTGAGCCACAAGACTTTTTTCCTCATAGCCACAGACTTTATTTAGGGTGCATACTTCTAAGATAACGCCATAGAGCCTCTTTCTTCAAAGCATAAATATTTTATTTATAAGTATGAATAAAAGGAGGAGAGTAAAGAAAGTTGGGCATGAAAGCCTAATTTTGTTTGTAGCCTTTCACAGCATTCTGAGTAGCACTAAGAAAAAGAGATAGAAAGGGGCATCCTTTTATCAGCAGTCACCAAGGATAGAGTTTTTCATCATTGCCCAAAAGAATTACCATCACTGGGATTTCTTCTTCTTTGGCAATATTTCAGTGACTATCACTTCTTGTGTATAACCCACCAAGTTTTTCTATTCTTATTCTTGAACACTGATGCATAAATGGAATTTAAGTTGGGAGTGGCTCATGGGCAGTGAAAAAACAGAGCAAGACTCCATAAAAACAGTTAGTCACCAAGAGCCCAATCAGCAACAAAAAACCAAGAGTGATTTTATTTTTTTTCTTCCCTTCAGATGAACTTAACAGCTCCTTCACAATGATAAACAACTTAGTCTTGATTTGGTTTTCAGAGTATATATAAGGAAATGCATTCAGCTTCATTGACTTCAACTGCAACACTGACACAACTGAGGAACAACGCGGCTCATGTTCTGAGTGTAGGCTAAAGCCTTTCAGCTGTCCCCATCACCTACAACACATCAGGGGAAAAGTGATCAAATGAGCACAAAAGTGGAAGAGAGGACCTAAATTTAAGATTCAAATTAAGTGAAATTATATCTAACTAAAGTATTCAAGTTTAACAAGAATGGCTTCTACATGCAACAGGCAGAGAGAAACCACCAAAGATTCTGTCTCGCTGGGCAGGACACCAGCCTTCTCTGGTAGTTCTCCTGCCTGCCCTCTTTTTTAGCAAGGAGATTCTAAAGATGGTTTTATAAAAAAAAAAAAAGAAATAGCCTGCAGACTGAGAAGCACTACATAAGTTACATCAAAATTTAAACCTATTAAACGTTATGTCAGTCTTTCAGAAGTTACAGAATACTTGAATAAAAGTTCTAAGCGTAATCTCAATGACACTGTTCCAAGTAACACAGCAGCACAGCTGCCAAACACTCATCTGGTGTTAGCTCCCCCAGCTCGGCCTGCACTGGAGAGAGACCTTTCCTAAAAATGGAGTAAAATTCATCAGAGCTCAAGAAGGGAAAAAACATACTGGACTGTTCTTTACTTCTTATGGAAGCTAGAGAAATACAGAGAGACAAACACATCTGTAGCCCCAGAAATGGTGTGGATCATCCTGGAGCAGGGGGGATCAGACAACGATGCAAAGAACAGAACTATGTCACAATTCCTGCTTTGACAACTCCAAGTCATTTAAAACAAATTTTTCAAAAGCATTACTGATTTAGTTTTCTCTGATTTTCAACTTGGGACCACCATTACTTTTTCAGAACTAACAGCATTTATTTCTAAAACCGAAGTCTCTGGGGTGTAGTTTGAATCAATCATCTTTGAACACAACACTAGGAGTCACAGATATTTAGAAGCAATTAACAAGAAAAACTGCCCACTATTTTTTCCTGTATTTCAACTGTTCATGTCTCTAAAATATGTGTAATATATCCTCATCCCATTAGGTACTTTGGAAATTCACCTGATGCTTTAATACAAGGTGTATACTGGAGAAATTGTCCAGAAATCAGTGTGTTAAGCCCATGATTGGTGTGGTGCCTGGTACAGCACCCAGGCCACCAACTGAACCAGGGAAAAAATAATTCAAACCACTGAAAAGCCCCACTGAAAGTTCTCTGTCTATTGAGGGAGGCAGATTCCCATGAACAGATAAAACGCAACTCATTAAAGGTTTAACAGGACATCTTAATTCTGAAGAGTTTAAACATAGCTTTCTGCATCATTTCTGTAGATCCCCCCTCCCAAATTAATTTTCTAAAAATACAGAAAAAAAAATTATCTATTTTCAGACTAGAAACTCTAGTATGAGTCTTATAATTAGGTGCAATGATTTCTGCCATTTGGATGAGTAAATCAAGAGGAGTAGCAGGCACCCACTGTCTATACCTTCATCCACCCCACATCCGGACACGTAATTAGCATCAGGTTTCACGTGTATTTGATGACAAATGTTGGAATCGCATCCTTAGGTTGCAGTCTGAGCTCTGGAGACAGGTTCTGATGAAGTCAGACCTTCTTCTTTATGTCAGCTTTTGTCACCACATCTTGGTCTCTTCTGCTCTGTCCAACCTCTGCCATTCCTACCTGCTTGTCCACTTCTGTTGGTTCTTCTCCCATTTGGTTGAATTTTTTTGTTTTATTCTTGCAAAGGCACATAGATCCCTGTTCTAAGTTGTACCATATGAGGTATTCATGGAGGCAGCAGATGAGGTTGTGCACCAATACCACCTTCAACTCTTAAAATCTGGACATACCTTTAAAGACATTTATTATCCACTTTCAGTTTCACACAAAATGAGATTGAAGGGGACCTCCCTCCTAAAGCAGCTCACGTTGATACATCTAGTTGAATTATCACTGCTTGCAAAATGAAAAGCTGAAAGAAATTTGTAAAAGCAGCTTGCCTTTTTCCATTCACACATTCACAGGGTGGTTGGATTTGGCTATACAATCCTGAAATATCAAACTTGCTTCCTAGACAGGGTGTTTTCAGACGTTCTTGACAACTATCACTTCCACCCACAGCAGCTCATATTTCTGAGCAAAATCATCAATATGACTAAAGGCAGGCATGCCAAAGTGCAGCCACCTCTGCCATAAACTGTGCCCCCCCATGCTGCCCTGAGCCATGGCTAGGAGCTGTCTGTGTTTGGGCAGTGCTGCTGGCACGTAACACACTGAACAACCTCCCACGGGGAAGGCAGAGTTAATTCATGAATTACCAAGAGCAGAGCACCCACCCTCCTACAGGAGTGCTGGAGAGGACAGATCAAACCCCTGCTCTGTGGAGAGGGGCTATTGTAAGCACGTCTGGTAACTCACTATGCCAAATTCTCAACATTTTAGTAATCTATTATAAAATGAAAAGCTGACCTAATTTGTATGGTTCCCAGGATTTATAGCTCTACCTGTACATGCAGAGGAACAACAACAAAAAACTCTGTCTAAAAAGAGTTCCCCCTCTTCTGCTTCTTCAAATAAAAACCCAAGGTAAAATACTCTGGCCCCGTCTCAGAGATACTTCAGCTCCGGTTACACCACTAAAATAGCAGCAAGAGATTTAGACACACTTCTACTATTTAAAACCTTCCATTCCATGTATGTGCTATATAATTCATTGCTATTTTCTCTTTTGCAATATGCTTTAAGGTATTGTTTATGAAGAACCAGCCCATTTGAATTTGGCATCTTCCAAATGACATCAAAGTGTTAAATACAATATAGGATCTGTTTAATTTCTAAGAGATTGGAATACCTTTTCTTCCAAACTTAGAGCTTAAACTTGCTGAATATTCTTTATGTCAGGTAAGTTGGACTTAAAGACTCCACCTCTCTTTACCAAGCCTGCCTTGCTTACATTCCTGGACCACCATAGCTACCTTCCAGAAGCAGGAGATAGATAAATATTTGACTTTAAGAGAACAAAATTACTTTGTCATAGAACATTTGCCTGTAAGGCAGATATTTGCACAGTATCAGGCTTAAATGCTCACTTCAGCTTTATATAATGCAAATTCAGATTTATCTCAATTTTACAAAGATAAAAGTTCAATTACTCTTACTCCACAATCAGTCAGTGACAGGATAAATAAAATCTGAGAAAAGTCTTCACCTCTCCTGTCCTACCATGCAGCTGGTTATCTGTTTCGTGCCAGGTACTTATACTAATTATATTAAACACTCTTCTCCCACAGCATTTCCATTGAAGAAATACTGGGCAGGAGGTGTCTGTCAAGGTCCCACTTTTACTATCCCAATGCTTTGGAGGAACATTTGTGCAAGAGAGATAAACCCCACTGGTTGGTAATACTTACTTCTTTATAGGCAACAACTCATTGGGTCTTTTGATGGTACTGTCTGTCTGTGTGTCAGTGCCATAAACCCTTTGCACACCTCTTCCAGTTCGCAGGGGTGGGCCTAACTTGTCCATCTTACTACTAAAATATACAAAGGGGCACTCATAAGGAGATTGCTAGGCTGCCAGTTAAGTTATTGAAAAAAAAAATTAACGTATAAATAATTAAATACTTCTATTCCCAAATAATTCCCATTGAATTAAAAAAAAATGTACAAATAATAATTATCCAGCAAACAAAAGGGTTTTTCTTACTTTAAGAGGAAAGAACTTATCTTTCATCTTCCTCCATGGACTTACATTTGGATTAGGTTTCCAACGCATTCTGTTTTATTCTTTTTTAGGCAAAACAAGAAGTCCCTTACTGCCAGTTATCCTCACCAGCTGCACAATGTACGGCATTCAGCCTTTTTCCTTTTAAGAACAGCTTTCACAATGTCAGACTCATCATAGCTAGAAAAGGGGGCTCAGAATTACAAGTCACAGTAACATCAAGATGTTAGAAAACAGCAGAGATGGAAGTACGAGCCCCCTTAGCTTCTGAATTTGCAAGAAGGAAACAAGTTTTCCTCTTTCACTTTTTACAGAGATGGAAGTACGAGCCCCCTTAGCTTCCGAATTTGCAAGAAGGAAAAAAGTTTTCCTCTTTCACTTTCTATTTTTTTTTGGTCTATGCTGAACATTGTGCGCAGAGAGAATAACGTGCCTTCCGTTCTCTTCTCTTTTATGGGCAGAGAGAATAACGTGCCTTCCGTTCTCTTTTCTTTTATGGAGAAAAGAAAAGAACAGAGGAAAGCCTGAAAGAAAAACAATTTTGTTATAATATCAACCCCTCCTCAGCTCCCATCTAGACAGTGCTATACACACAGGCAATACTTTAATACTTTTTTACTATTATGGATAACATTTCCAAACCAAAAAGAATCAACCCCAAATCAAATTTTAAAAATATTAATTAAATGAAACCCTTACAAAATAAGACACACCACCATCCCTCCCTCCCACAAATCATCATAAGGAGAATTGTAGCTTTTGAGAAATCACTACTTGTATTAGGAAAATTAGGCCTTCAAGTAAAGTTCCACATTTTTAATCACCCTAATCTATAGAGTACAACCTGCAAAAAGCCCATGATATCCATGATTATTCTCAAGAAAAGCCTAGTAACTTAAGCCTTCATTGGAAAATTATGGCACTTGGAGTATTTCTATTGGTCTTTCTGAAATTCCAGAACTCTAAAGAAACAAACCAAGCCAGACTGGTGGAAATGGGTGGGTACCTGAACCTCAGCTCTCTGATTCCCACCCCTAAAGGGTTGTCATCAGGAAAAACCAGCCAAGCAAACCCAACAGAACACAGCCTCAGACTGAGAAATTATTTCTTAAAATTACTGTGCAGTTTTCTGATTCTTGTCATACAACCTTAATAAACCACAGTGCCTGGAAAATTACTACACAGCTAATTGCTGTCAAGGAAGCATAGTATTTTCAATATAGCTTTAAAAAAAATAATAAAAAAAAATATATAAAAGGCTCTGGTGTACCTCCAACACACATATCATACTGCTTTACCTACTCCTTTTAAAATAACATATTAAAAGGCACAGAACCTATAAAGTTTGCAACATAATTTGTTTTTTGGGAAGTTTCTGGTGTAAAGCTCAAAATCCACATTACATCTGTAAAACATCAGATGAAACCTCCTCATAAGAAACTGACACTCAGCACTGCTAAGTGACAGTCACTCATCAGGGAGTCAGCAGGGACGCCAGGATTTCAGTCTTGACAATTCAGCCCCAGACAATACAGGCTGTGAGATAAGTTCTTCTTGAGTTCCTCTTCCCACTCGCCTCCCAAACAGATGTTCTTGTTCAAACTAATTAACTCGGGAAATGCTTAATCAATTCCTGTTTGACCACATACATGTTCTTTCTGTCTTTCCCAAGGACTGAGAAGCGACACTGAGGTCTTTGACACCACGAGACACATACTCCAGCCTATCATGATTTTCTCAGCTTTCTGCTGACTGAACCTTTCACAATTTATCAACATCATTTGTGAACTCCAGACCTTTGTAGAAAAGAGAAGACAGTAACTTACAAGCAGTCATGACACTGCCCATATAAAGAACTACAGGGTTCCAGTCATGACACTGCCCATATAAAGAACTACAGGGTTCTTCCGCACTTCACAGAACTAAAAAACCCAAAGCTGAGAGCCTATTCATATACTAATGAAAAAAAAAAGCACAATTCTAAGAATCTTCTGAAATGCAAAGACCACCAAGACCTTGATTTCATTGCACAAAGCTGTGTAATTTATAGTCTTAGTGAAAGGAACAAGCTATTTAAAAAATATAATGTATTTAAAGGCTCCACATGCTGTATGGCAAATATATAAGTGGAATTTAGGGATTACCAATACTGGTTAGGTGCACCACTCGTATTGCATTTTAGTTGTAAGACAGTACTGGATGTGTGTCACTAACAGACATGGGTCCCAGGAGCCATAACTTCGATCAGCCTAACATTAAATAGTATGTTTTAACCCCAAAATAAAATAGAAATGACAAAGTAATCTTTAAGGGTTCATTTGCCATACTGAAAAACATCACATAATTTTCGGATGTGTGTCACTAACAGACATGGGTCCCAGGAGCCATAACTTCGATCAGCCTAACATTAAATAGTATGTTTTAACCCCAAAATAAAATAGAAATTAACAGACATGGGTCCCAGGAGCCATAACTTTGATCAGCCTAACATTAAATAGTATGTTTCAATCCCGAAATAAAATAGAAACGACAAAGTAATCTTTAAGGGTTCATTTGCCATACTGAAAAACATCACATAATTTTCCAAGTCTCAGTGAAAAAATAAGTGACTCCCATTCAGGCATGGCACAGGCACAGGTCTGTGGGGGCAGGAGCTCTGGCTGGGCACAGGCAGGTGCTGGGTAAGGCGGTTGGCCTGGTGACCCTGTGTGCTTGGCCAGAGGGCAGGAGGAACAACCACCTGCCCAACGCTGTCTCCTCAAGAGCTGGTTACTGCTGAACTCACCAGAGCTGCCCTGCCACTCCAGGAATGCAAGACAGCACTCAACTCTGCACTCTCACAGAGTATGGATCACCCTTAGGATCCTAGTGTGATTCACTATCAAAATCTAAGCCTAACTACAATTTCTGTGGAATTTATTTTCCTTTTTCCAGTTCTTCAAAATCAAAAAGATGAAATCCTATTTTTGGGCAAGCGAAGGCAGGTTTTCCTACCCACCAGGATGCCAACCACCTGCCCAACGCTGTCTCCTCAAGAGCTGGTTACTGCTGAACTCACCAGAGCTGCCCTGCCACTCCAGGAATGCAAGACAGCACTCAACTCTGCACTCTCACAGAGTATGGATCACCCTTAGGATCCTAGTGTGATTCACTATCAAAATCTAAGCCTAACTACAATTTCTGTGGAATTTATTTTCCTTTTTCCAGTTCTTCAAAATCAAAAAGATGAAATCCTATTTTTGGGCAAGCGAAGGCAGGTTTTCCTACCCACCAGGATGCCGAGTCCCGTGCTGGTCCCGCAGGGCTCAGGGGTACCCGCAGTGCTTACTGCTGCTGGGCTGGCCCTCTGTCCCGCAGGGACATCCCCACAGCACAGCTCCCCAACACTGGGGCTCTGTGTCTGCACCCTGAGCCCCAGCGCCCTGACCCTGCTCCTCTTGGTGCCCTGAGCTGCTCCCAGCAGTCCTTTGCTTGGGGAGCTGAATTACAATTAAAAAAAAGGAAATAGCATAGCAAAAGTGACCTAAAATAAGGGAGTTCATAACAGCTGGTTGCATTTCTTCTTATGCACAATAAAAATTTGAAGTGCAATACTGACCTTGAAAGGAAAGGAAGCTGCAGGAGCTCTCCTTCCCAGAGCCAAAGGTTGCATTTCTTCTTATGCACAATAAAAATGTAAAGTGCAATACTCACCTTGAAAGGAAACGAAGCTCCAGGACTTTCCTTCTCAGAACCAAAGGCCACGGGCCCCGGCCCGTGTCAGCCCCGTTAAGGCGGGGGCCGGCAGCGGCGCAGGGGCTCCCGCCAGGCCCGGGCCAAGGCTGCCACCTACAGAGCACGGCGGGCACTGCACCCCCTGCGCTCACCGCCCCCCGGCACTTCTGCCCTATCGCCCCCAGAGCAGGCACCGCGGCTCCAGGGGGAAGCTGTGTGTCCCCAAAATCCACAGAACTCACCCTTGGCGTTGGGTAACCCAACTGCAATTCTAACATTAAGCCTCACCCCCTCTTTGCCGAATCTGGAATGACAACAGCCTAGGCAAAAATAGAAAGTTTCACTTGAAGATATAAAAAAACCCCCAAAACTACAGTCTGCCTTACGGCAAACAATGGGGAATAGAAAGTTTCACTTGAAGATATAAAAAACCCCAAAACTACAGTCTGCCTTACAGGAAACAACGGGAGCTTCTTACAGCAAAACCTGGAATTTAACCTGGTTGGAAGAAGTGTGTTGGCTCTTAAATGTTTGACAAGGAGAAAAAATAAATATATCATGTAATCTCTTAACACTGCATTAGAAAGAGTGCCCTTAACACAACCCCTGTGCCACGCTGTGCTCAGTAAATCGTGCACCAATGGCTTGGGAAGAGGAGGTGACACCTGACAGCCCGAGCTCTGCCTCGGGTACAGCAGTACCCCACACTACGCCTTGGCTTTTGGCTGGTCAAATCCTAAACAGAGCAAAAGAAATACCTCTCGTTTCAGCCTAATGAAGGTTATTTTTATAAAATTTTAAAAGCCCTTTTATTTTATAAAATAATTCTAGCTGCAATTAGCTACAGCCTAAATTATAAGACGTTTTCACATTTAAAATCTTTGTCACTACAGCATTAGCTATTTTCACTCTCTGACTTCAGATGTCAACGGTCAGCGTCCCTGTCCCTGCTCCAACAGAACTGTGTAGGTATTTCAACAGAACCCTACAGATTTCCCCCTCGCACCCCAATACTAAGGCCAAGATTATAAAGGCCAAAATGGTCCCAAGTGACCAATGTGTGGCACAGAACTGCTCCATGCTGTCGCTCCTACACCTCTGTGCCTCACCACAACTCCTGGCAAACTCCTCAGAAGCCAACACAAAGCAGCCAAGAGACAAAGGAGGAATGACCAGGTCTCAAGTGTGACGCTTCGGGAAGAGACAGGTTTCACAGCTCCCTGGGAGAAGCCTGGTTAGTGTGGCCATCAGGAAATCACAGGGACTGGGTGGCAAAGAGCAGAAGTGTTGTGGGACAGAGAGGTGAGAAGGACTGCAGGAAACCCACTCAGCACATCCATACTCCCCAAAGTTGTGCCGACACTGAAGTGAGGGTGTAAGCCCAGCTAACACCCGCTGCCTCTCAGCAGAGACCATTCTCCCAGAGCCATGCCAACCAGGAGTCACCCATGGCAGGTACAGCACATGTCAGCAGAGGGAACCCCTGCAAACACCTCTCAGAACAACAACTCCTGGCTGGTTCCCTCACAATTCCTCCTCCAAGCTTCAGAAGGTGAAACAGAGGACCACAGAATATGAAGCAGTGAGTTCAGTGAGCAACCCAGTGGTAAAATTAAATAGGACCTCCCTGTTAAGAAGTAAAGGCTAAAACCTGTGCTCCCTCACAAACCAGTACAGACTGCAATTAGAGACTCATCAACAGGAAAAAGCCTTTCCCAACTGCTGGGGGGTTGGAACCTGATGATCTTTAAGGTCCCTTCCCAATCTAACCATTCCATGATTCTGTGATTCACCACCATGGCCAGACACACGCCTTCAAATCATCCCAGCTGACTTTGTGTACTGTGGTTTGCAGACCTACTTGTTTGCCACTCATCAGCGAGTGCTAATTCAACTTCTGGAAGTGGAGAAATGCAATCCAAAATCCAGTCAGTGACAGAGCCTGGGGATTTCTGACAGTCACAGCAACACCTACAAGCAGTAGTGAAGCTGCCCTGCAGACCAGGGACTACTGGGACACAGGATGGTGTGGGGTGGGTGGTGTGGTGCAGGGAACACATCTTCTGACTACCTCAGACTCTGCCTTGGGTCTGTCTGAGAGATTCTGCAGGAGTGGGTAGAGCAGGGAGGGACAAACTGCATCCTTGTGTCACATGGCATTAGGAGGGAGGTGGGACAGAGCTGCAACACATACTTGCACGTAAGGCTTAAGAGTGATAAACTGAAAACCACTAGTTTTATCTCATAAATAAAGTTCTCCAGCCCCATGAGATCTTTCAGAATGCCCTTCTTCTTCCTCACAAGCTCAAGCAGTTGTTTTTCTCCACCTTATACAGCCTTCCCCAATCTATACTCATTTTTATAGCAATATCTATCGCAGTTAGATATACTGCAGTCTCTTTGTTGTATGTTTTATGTTTTCACTCAGTGCTCCTTGATGCTCCTCAAACTTCTGTACAATTGCACTACTCTTTTTCAGTCCCTTCCATACATTTCTTCTGAGACAGTGTGTGCTGACTGTCCCCAGCAAAACACCAGTAGCAGCATTATCCCACCAGCACTTCCACTGAACTCCAGCAATCTACATTTACCACTGCTGTTGCTGGTGCAGAGCACTGGTCTCCTTATTCATGCTCGTTAATTTCTTGTCTCTTGCATATTTTAAGACAGGAAAGGCAGGAGGGAAAGTATCCACCCTTTTGTGGTAAGAGGGAAGATTCTCCCACAACAGGCTTGGGACCTGTGACAGGTCTCTCTCTTTTATTCCCACAAAGGAAATTATGCCTAATGTTTTCTAGTTTTTAAAGTATCTTCACTCTTACAAAGGAAAAAAAAAATATAGCTCCAACCACTTCTACATATTCTATAACATTTTAATCTGCCTTGTATCTAATTTTATCTCTTGACCTCCTTGCTGTTATTTTAACATTAGAAAATGCATCTTTGCCTACTCCAATGTTCCTTAAACATTAATTGTGCTTATAAATAAAGGATAAAGTCCAAACACTGTACTTCCTAGGTTCACAGGAAAAGAAAAACGCCAGTGAAACAGACCACAGACATTTCTAGAACTAGCACAACACAAATAGGAAATAAAGCATAAGTGACACCAGGAAATGGACACTTACCCTGTTTGTGGGTTCACCATTCCCAGGGAGTTCTTATGAGCTGGTGACAATGTCTGGATTTTGGTGCCACCGGATCCAGAGGAAGAGAGGGCTTTACCTGAAGAGGCACCTTGCAGGTGAAAGCAAACATGGAAACATGAGAAAATGTAAGATTTTGCTGCCAGAATGATACAATTCATCACACATGTTCTAATTGTAAAATTCAAAACAAGACTTTTAGAAATATCAAGATGTGAACAAGCGTCAAGATAACAGGAAAAAGCAAGTACATTTCCAGAAATTTACAGAAAATATGCAATTAAGACATAACGTTGTGTTCTAATAAAAAATGCTGGATCTCAATTTTTTCCTTTTCCTTCAGAAAGAAAAAGGAAAGAAGTCTAGAATGTCAAAGTATGTACAAATAGAACATGTTTGATATCTGAAAGCAGAGTAAGACTGGTGTTTGCATAATTACAATATACATGGCTTAACTATGTATTTTCATCGATTCGTGATTGTGTTCAGCATACAAATTAGTTACAGAGTTCAGCAACGGAAAAGTCTCAGGTAAGAAATCAGTATTGGCTACCATTATGCATTACTACAGAATGATTTTGCAGGTTCAGTTCAGAAAAAAACTAGATTGACAGGATATATAAAACAGAAGAGTCTCCTATGTGCTCAAGAGTCTTGCTGGATAAATACTAATCGATTCCCCTTCCAACTTTACTTTAAATAAATTCTTACAAACCACTATATCAATTTCAACAATAAAGTATACAGCTATCATACATGTAGGTCCAAAAAAATCAGGTCACAAAAACACTGACTAAAAAAAGTTGTATTATGAAAACCAGACCCCATCTTATCCCCTCATGTAACACTGAGCTCCTCCTGCGGGTATCTGTACTTTGTCAGCTTAGAGCACTGGACAATGATGTGGAATTTCTTTCAGTTATTAAAATTATACTGCTTTTACTGCATAGTTTGAGATCTAATATTTAGAAAGGAAATGGCAAATTCATAACATTCATTTCCTACCTACAACAGTTTTGGTAACACCACTTGGCTGGGGTAAGCGTGATGATGATGATGGTGGTGTTGATCCTACAGAAGGCATCTTCTTAACTGCAGCAGGTTTGTACTGTAACAAAATACAACCTAGAAATTTAAGCAATTAAATCAAACTATCTCTATAACATGGTAGGTAGTTAACTCAGGCTTGTGGGAGAACAGCCTGTGGTTACTGAGGAGGGAAACTGTTTCTGGTGTGGGCTCAGGCAGACGGTTTCCCCCAGTCTGCTTTCTCACACACACAGACCATGCCAGGAAGAGAGAGTCTTTAACTTTACTCAGGGGATTTGTGTTTTGTGTTTAACTGTATGTCTTGGTGTGTTTTCCACTTTTCTACAGCTTTTCTCATCTTTTCCCATAGCTGTCTCATGAGATTAACATGATCACCTCATTACCAGTTAATTTTAAAAAGAATCTTCAAGGACAGAATCACTTTTGTCTTTCAAATCTTATTTCACCTGTGTTCTCTAGACCCGTCCCAGCACTGAGCTGGAACAGGGCAAGAACCACTGAGGAACTGCTTTTGGCTGTTTAACTCTTCACAGCTTCCAGAAAAAAAAAGCATTACCACCAAACAAAAAAAAAACCAAACCCACAGAGACTTTAATAATTTGTTTCCATCATAAGTTAACTGCTGCAGCTCTTACTTTAACATGCCTGAATTCCTACAATTAGCCAAAATATTGCTGTCAGTTCTCCTGTGGTCATCACCTTTATTTGACCACCTAAGGAACAGCCTTGAATTGGATTCAGAAGGCTTGGACAACAGAAAGTCAACCTTCTTTACAAACACTGCATCTCTGTTTCCTGCTGCTACCCTTACTTGGCATTTTCATAAGTCTCTGAATGACATTTAGGACTGGTTTTGGCTCTGCAGCTGCTGCCATCTCATCTACAGACCTCAGCTACTCTCCTAAGAGAGGAAAGCCCTCTCCTGTGTCTGACTTCAGTCTAGCACAAATAACACAATTGCAGAATAAAACAGTTAAATCCATTTAAGGGTAACACACTAGTTAACAAGCTTGGTGTGATGTGGAATGCAAGTTCCAAGTTAAGAAAACCATTAGTAGCTCACCTGTGTGCGAGTCGGAAGCTTCCCTTTGGGATCAGCTGCCAGCTTCCCCTTGTTGGTGATCCGGGCTGCCTGCTCCTTACAGAAATTGATGTGTCTGTCTGCTGCGTTCTCATTGAACCTCCTCTGACAGTAGGGACACTGAATGTAATCTGAAAAACATAAAAACCTAACGTTAATAATGGGGTTTAAAAAATAAAGTGTCTTAAAAGTCTTTTGAAGACCAGCCCCGCCCTTAGAGAAAATTAAGGCCTCTTGAATCTGAAAAAGAAATACAGATTTCTGGGGAAAAGAACCTTGTCCACATGAAGGGCAAAAGACATTTCTTGTTTGATGGCTAAGGAAGAGAAGAGTGGTTGAGGATCAGAAGTACCCTAAGTGCAAGCAGGAACACTTTGAGAGGTGCTGTTCAGCAGAGAAGATGCCCAAAGAGGTGTCTGGACGTGACAGGGCTATCAGCTGGGAGGATGCAGAAAAGAGGCTAAACAGAAGTTACACACACAGTTCAGTTTGTTCAGGATATGAAAACGCATTAAACCCTTTCCCCATACAAATAGAAAAATACACCATAATCTGTTTTCCTCTGGCAATTTTGAAAGGACTGGGAAATACTAAACACAACTGATCATTGAAAAAAAAAATAAAATTGAAAACTTAACAAAGAAAAATATCAGAAGAAAACCAGCCAAAATTAGGAGATATCTTTAGAGACATGCAAAACAGGATAATTGGTAGCTGTATTATTTTTCAAGATGAATTTAGTCACATTACAAACAGTACTACTCACAGAAAATATTACTACTAACATTGGGGACAACCCAGAAAGGCTATGGAGGTGTTCAGAATACTAAGAGACCCCTCATCTGCATGCTGGAAATACACTCCGTCAAAACCACTGCCCTTGGGAAGCGAAGTGTTTGGCTGCAGTTTCAGACAGACATTTTGTGTCTGGATGCTGAATTCCTCAGACTGCAGTATTCAAAGCCACGTAAAACCGACTCCTGAAGGGTTGGGCCCTGGCAAAGCAGGTTACATTAGTGTGTTCCTGGGTGAGTTTAGAAATGTTTTGAAGAAAATGAGGAGAGATTCAACAATCACTGCCTCCAAGACTCCCATTAGATATTATACAATCACAGTGAGATCTGATTACATGTTACTCCAAATGCAGCAGATCTGTCTTAAATGGTTATCCCTTCAAATTAACAAACAATTTTGAGTAAGTCAAATGATGTAGTGGCCACCAAAGCATGAAGTGTGACCCAAGAAGTGTGAACAAAGGACACGAGAGCAGCACAGGAATCCCTTTGAGAAGTGACAGCGTGGCAATCTCATGTGATAACAGCAATAGATTGTTATTTATTTATTTTACATGAGCTCCACCGCTGTCATAATACTCAAACATAAACTATACCGTAGCAGATACAAACTCAGAACAAAAAGAACTATAATACCTGTGTGGTCAAGGCAAGATAGGCTCAAACAATGTTAGGAAAAAAAAAAGATAAAAAAAAAGAGAAAAAGCTAAGTAGATTAATAGAACAGCTCTGGAAGCCCCTAGATAATAGACATTTCTAGGTGGAGCACAGCTCAGCTCCCACAGAAGACTCTCTGAGCCCGCTGAAGTAAAAGGACCAGATTGCAGAGGATTAATGCACACTCTTTTCAGAAGGAGGGATTGTCCCTTCATCCTTCTGTAAAAGCTTGGCACCCCTCAGCCACCTGGCTGGCTGGAGGCACTTGCTCACACCGCCCCACAGAACTGCAAGGACCCAACGTAAGCTTTATAGAGCACAAACTAACCACAGCAGGTGGCAGTACACATGTGGCACCCAGTCAGTGCTAACAGAGTGACTGAAGGTTCTTCTTAACACCATGAGGCTCTTCTGCACTCCTAAGGAGAACTGGAACAGAGGGTGGAAGAACCAGGTACACTGCTTGTTTACAAACCCAAAGCATGCAATTAAGTAGGAAATATTAATAGAGAACTCTTTTTCTTTAAAGGAAGAATAGCAGCTAGTTAGAACTAGACATGCCAAAGAGAGAGCTGAGTAGGAGGGGACAGTTACACCCCATGACACCATGCAGAATTCTCCCTCTCTCTGACATGGACAGTGGAAAAGCTGCCCCTGCTCTGGTTTTGTTCTGTTTGAGAGAAGAGAACCCACTGACCAACTTGTACATCTTCATTCCTGGTTCCCTCCTCCTAAGTCTCACACGCTGCAGAGGATGAAGCCAGAAGACTACGGACAGTGAGATTCAGCTTGGAAAAGTAAAAAACAGGCAGAAGAGAAACAGAAGCTAATGGCTTTCTCTCCCCTCCACCTCCTGTCTGCTTCCAAGTGAGCTGAACAGTCACCTCCTTTGCTTGAGCCGCATTTGTGGAACCACGGGAGCACTATTTGAGTAGTTTTTCCAAGCTTGATTAAGTTTGGGCTCTTCTGCTCGTAACTCAGAATCTATACAACTAGATTATTAACCATCCTTTCCATGACTGAGCGTTATGTCTCTTGTCCACAGCATTAGCTGTGGTTTACTCTAAAATGCACATGGCATTTGAGGAGGGTGTGTACTGACTGCTGAATAACACAACCTCACCTCTTACACTCACAATCCTAGTACTGGACTAACACATTTCCCCTACAGAAACGAGGTAGGGAATGCTCACATCCCCACTTACCCACAGACAGGCAGAAGCAAACATGATTTTTTCTGTTTTTCCCAGTCTTTCTGAAAATAGTCACTGAGCTGGATCAAATGGTCTAGCTTTTGGGACAAGAGGAAGGAATACATTCTCCAACCTATTACCACATCAGAGAAGGTAACTGCCAAGCCTGTTTTCTGCTCCCTCCCATCAGGCTGTTTCAATGCCTTCCCCAGCCCCAGCTGTAAGGGCACCTGCACACCGTCACTCCCCTGGGAATGCAAACCCACACATCCCCCAGACCCAAACCACCCAGAAACCAGGTGTGGGAACAGCCTGTCCAGCCCGTGGCTTCTAAGACAGTAACAAGGTGCAAGGTCACCACAACTGCCTTTCCAGGTGTTAAAAACAAAGCTGTGGGCTTGGAAAGCTCCAGAGGAGGCCTCACTGAGCTGGATCAAATGGTCTAGCTTTTAGGACAAGAGGAAGGAATACATTCCCCAACCTACTATCACATCACAGAAGGTAACTGCCAAGCCTGTTTTCTGCTCCCTCCCATCAGGCTGTTTCAATGCCTTCCCCAGCCCCAGCTGTAAGGGCACCTGCACACCGTCACTCCCCTGGGAATGCAAACCCACACATCCCCCAGACCCAAACCACCCAGAAACCAGGTGTGGGAACAGCCTGTCCAGCCCGTGGCTTCTAAGACAGTAACAAGGTGCAAGGTCACCACAACTGCCTTTCCAGGTGTTAAAAACAAAGCTGTGGGCTTGGAAAGCTCCAGAGGAGGCCAGCCAGCCAGCCCCGACCACAAACCAGCAGCTGCACAGGGAGCAGCAGACAGTCATCCTCGACAACTTGTGAATATTGTATTCCAACAAATCCCTCCCCAAATCAAATTTTTACAAATTAAGCTAAAAAAAAATACATCTCTAAAAAGATGTTTGTTTTACATACCAGGGTCATATGAGGGCGGAGGCGGTGGCGGGAGTTTTCCACCATCTTTAAGATTAAGTCCTTTGGCTGCTCGGATAGTGGCTATAAACTCCTCGTGCTTCCGCCTCCAGTTGGATGGCTTTTTGGGTGGTTCTGGCTAAGGACCCAAAAGAGAAAGAGCTTTGTAAGTTCGAAGCTTTTACTTCAATCTAAGTACGTGCCTTATTTCAGTAAAGAACATTATAGTTAGATCTCTTCCAGCTCCTGGCTGATGTAATGATGACAAATCAGCAGCAGGAAGCAGGCTCACTACAATGCACACAGTGTGCCTAGAGCGTCCCCTGCAGAGCAGACACTGACGTACCCGAGGCTTAAGGGGTTTGACTGTGGGGATGTCAGTTCCTTCCGCTCGCTGTCGGCTGGAATCAAACGTCTTCCTTTTCTTGGCAGAAGTTTTTTGGCAAATGGGTCCATGCTTTTTCTACAAGTAGAAAAACAAAAGGAGAATATAGAACTTAGTTCTGAAAACACAGACTATTAACACGTTATTTCCCTCTTTCCCAATATGCCAATCAGCAATCAAGGCCCAGCTCTCGATGACTGAGATAAGGCTGCTTTCACTCAAACAGTTCTGCCAGCCATTATTGTAAAACAGAACTACAGGAATTCTCAACTGCATACACATGGGCACCAGAACTTGGGCGATGAAGAATAAAAACAGGAGGCATCTGTACTTGCTCCTTGCAAATAAAAAACTGATGGAAGACAGGCAGCATTTGCACTGAGTGGAAAGACAGATCAGAGGTGTCAGAAATCCATATTTATATTTAAGGACAGACCAATGCCTATTAAGACTGGAGAGCACAGTATGTTGAAGATGGCCAAAGTCCTTCATTTACTAGCTGAGAACGCTTAACACTAGGGCTTCCATCTGCAGAGGCAAGAAAGGATTCTCTGACCTGAGAGAAGATGCTTTCACAAGCATATATTTTCAGAAAGTGACGGGATGCTGAAATAAAATAAACCTCCTCCTAAGGAGCTTCAAATCAATAATTATTTGGGAAAAACCCAAACTTTAAAAACCCCACTAAAATCAAGTATCTACATCTACTTTATTTAGCTTTATAGTGACCATGGCTTAACTCTCATCCTAACTTGTCAGAGCTAAAAGCCAACACGTGGCCATACGACTTACCAGTGCTGCTGGAAAGAACGTCCTCCCACAGATCTTACATGGCAACAGGTCTCCAGTTTGCACTGCAACCTCACCTTAAAAAAAACAAATAACTTCTGTAAGAGAGTTTTGTTTAAATTTGTGATACAAGTTTCTTCCTAGATTGCTAACCCCATACTTAGCAATACCAACAGTTGTTGCTGTACAAGGGTATATTCTGATAATTTACAGTGCAAAACTATACACCTTTAACAGCTTTGCAGAAATAAGTGAGAGAGGCGTTTCATGGAAATACAAAGTGACACCGGCTTTAAGAAATTAGTCGAAATAAATCAAAATTAGTGATCTTGAAATCAGGTGTAAAGTATAAGATTAAGGATTTGACTGAGAGAATAATTCTTTCAAATATCTGCCTTTGTAAAAGAAGAAAAGCTACAGTTTCCAGCTTTTTCTCCTATTTGCTGAACTCTGGAATGTGAGCCTGTGTTTGAATTCCCCATTCAAAGAAGCAGAGTTGATAGAAGCTCACCTGCTGGAGCAGTATTTGCACACAACATACCCATGAGTATGGAATGCCAATGAGCACTCACTGCAGCTCCAGGTCCCGAGCTGATCTCCCTGCAGCATTCCTGCCCCTCTGCTGCTGGCAGGAACTCGGCCACTTCTGCTCACAGCTACTGCTGCCAGCACCTCCCCATCACACACATCCTTTTTTTTCAAACATCCTGTGATTTCAAAACTTGAAAGCTCCTGAAGTTTTGTTGAAAATGGGAAGCATGCAGTCCTTCAGACCTGCGCACTTATCTCTTCCATTTTTTAATCATTCCTCACCTTTGTAGTTAATAAAAAACAAAATAAAGCAAAAAAAAACACCACACAAAACCACAAAGCCTCAACATTTCTCTCTAGGAGCAACAACATCAACATGAAATCTGGTCATTTAAAAATAAAACATAGGAAAAAATTGTGAAAGTTAGATAAAAAGGTGTTTTTTATCATTGTTGTGATTGGGTTTATTTTAATATTTATTTATTTATTCAGGTATTCATGCATGGTATCTACCCCACCTGGAGCACTGCCTCCAGCTCTGGAGCCCTCAGCACAGGAAGGACATGGACCTGTTGGGATGGGGCCAGAGGAGGCCACGGAGATGCTGGGAGGGCTGGAGCCCCTCTGCTGGGAGAGGCTGAGAGAGTTCAGCCTGGAGAAGAGAAGTCTCCGGGGAGACCTTAGAGCCCCTTCCAGTCCCTCAAGGGGCTCCAGGAGAGATGGGGAGGGACTCTGGATCAGGGAGGGGAGCCATAGGACGAGGGGGAAGGGTTTGACACTGAAAGAGGGGAGATTGAGATGAGATCTGGGCTAGAAATTCTTTGCTGTGAGGGTGGTGAGAGCCTGGCCCAGGTTGCCCAGAGAAGCTGTGGCTGCCCCATCCCTGGAGGGGTTCAAGGCCAGGTTGGAGGGGGCTTGGAGCAACCTGGTCTGGTGGGAGGTGTCCCTGCCCAGGGCAGGGGGTGGCACTGGATGGGCTTTAAGGTCCCTTCCAACTCTAACCACTCCATGGTTCTATGATCTAATGCCGTCACTCATGGACTGACTGAATTTGTTTCCTGAACAAAAGTTCACAGAAACGGTTGTTAAATTGTGATGTATTGGGGGAGGAGGGAGAGGGGGATGTTAAAAAAAAAGGGAACACTCAAAAGAAGAGATGAAGGATATGTTTGGCAAATGAGTCTGAGAATTGCAGCCTCAGGCAGAGAGATTTAGGCAGAGAGAAACCTAATGAAACTTAAAGGGCAAGTGCAGGGTGCTGCACCTGGGGAGGAATAACCCCCTGCACCAGTACAGGCTGGGGGGGACCTGCTGGAGAGCAGCTCTGAGGAGAAAGACCTGGGAGTCCTGGTGGGCAACAGGATGCCCATGAGCCAGCAATGGGCCCTGGTGGCCAAGAAGGCCAAGGGCATCCTGGGGGGCATCAGGAGGAGTGTGAGCAGCAGGTGGAGGGAGGTCATCCTGCCCCTCTGCTCTGCCCTGGGGAGACCCCATCTGGAGCACTGGGACCAGTTCTGGGCTCCCCAGTTCCAGAAGGACAGGGAACTGCTGGAGAGGGGACAGCAGAGGCTACAGAGATGATTAAAGGTCTGGAGCATATTTCCTAAGAGGAGAGGCTCTCCAGAGGTCCCTTCCAACCCCATATGATGCTATGAACTGCAGTCAGCAGTAAGATAGCGTCACAGCACTTGTCTTCAGTTTTCTGTAAGTCTAGGAACAATGCTGGGATTACCACCATCCCAGTTACACAGCCACACAACTCCTGACATCCAGCAGCTACACTTCTTTTTTCTTTTACTATCTTTAATACCACTAATCACCATCAGTTTACATCCTTGCATTAAACATGAATGTGTTTAAACATGAACATAGTTAACTTGGAAAAGGACAGACATAATTATTACTGTTTATCTAATCTAAACACACTTAGGGAAAAGAGAAATACATTCAAAATGGTTATGTGAATACCAAATAAAACAGTATTTCAGTTGAAGTGATGCCAAGACTATGATATACAGCTTTACACCCTATTCTCCTACTGTCTGCCAGAGAGCAGGTCTCAACCACAGAGTTCAATCTAATGAGACATCGGGTTTCTGGATTGAAGCACCAGACTGAAGGTTTATTAGCAGCTGCAATAACCTTAGTGCTGTTTCTACACTGCCCCTGTCAGAACTGCCCCCCCTCCAGCTACTTCCAGAGTACAACCACCTTCCAAATTAGTTTTTGCCCTACCTACACGTAAGTTGTTGCACACCCCACTGTTGAACAGGGTCACAGCCCAGTTCCCAGGCTTTCACCCCGTGGTGGGAGCTCAGCTGGGCAGCCTGAGCAGAGCCCCCCGGGGGGTACAGTCAGTCCCTCAGAGCCAGCACAGTGTTCCCGTGCTCTCACCCCTGGGGCTACACCTCCTGCAAACCCACACTGCCAGGGAATGACTGGTTTTTCCTTCCTCTCTGCTCATGTTCTAACACAGCAAGTGATTCACAGTGGAAAACACAAGCTGCCAGTTCGGAGGTTGCTCTTTCCCAGGACAAGGTGTGGGCCCATCAGGATCTGACACAGCCACAGGCACCACACTCCTGCTGCTGTGTTCACAGATCACGCAGTTGTGTGAAAAGACTCCACACCTAGAGACAGGAGAAGTCTTCAGTATTGCTTACCAGCTATCAATTGACGTTTTATTACAGTTTTCTCTTTTGGTTTCTATACCCAGGGATGTGCCTACTCTCAGAGACAGAGTGCAGAAGGCTTCAAAGAAAGAAGACTGCACTTAGTAACGGTATGTTGTCATGTTGTAAAATCTGTCCGACTGCCCTTCAAACCCTTTTCATTTCTCTGCAGCAGCCACAGTGCCAAATGACTGAGGCAGAGAGCTGTGCTCATCAGAGCCATCCAGCCTCACTGAACTCACACGTGGAGCTGCACTCGGGTACGAGCTCCAGCTTTGAGACCAGGTACCTGTCTGAAACCAGCCATTCAACTACAGCTGGTAGAAAAGACTCCACACCTAGAGACAGGAGAAGTCTTCAGTATTGCTTACCAGCTATCAATTGACGTTTTATTACAGTTTTCTCTTTTGGTTTCTATACCCAGGGATGTGCCTACTCTCAGAGACAGAGTGCAGAAGGCTTCAAAGAAAGAAGACTGCACTTAGTAACGGTATGTTGTCATGTTGTAAAATCTGTCCGACTGCCCTTCAAACCCTTTTCATTTCTCTGCAGCAGCCACAGTGCCAAATGACTGAGGCAGAGAGCTGTGCTCATCAGAGCCATCCAGCCTCACTGAACTCACACGTGGAGCTGCACTCGGGTACGAGCTCCAGCTTTGAGACCAGGTACCTGTCTGAAACCAGCCATTCAACTACAGCTGGTAAGAATTACTACTGGAAGAGTGCTTGCCAAATTCTTCTGCAAAATTGTATGTATTGCTTTTAGCATAACTCTCATCTCCAAAAGCAAGGTAGTTTCCATACTTCAGGTACAAAAAAACCTCTATCATCAAGCCCCAGCAGGTAGTTCTTCAGGGACCGTCAGTCTCCAGCATATGTCCGCTAATCAGTACTGACTGAGTTATAGCTTTGTAATCAACATGCTAATTAACAATAGTCTGAAAAGACTAATGACAAATACTACAACCAAGAGTCACCTAAATGCAGTGACATAGGTAGGGAACACTCCTCTGAACAGCCAAACACAACTTAGAGCATTAAATAAAATAATGAAAAGATCAATGTACCAAAGTAGAAAAAAAGTACACCAATACTGGTGTCAATTTTGCAAGTTTTCATAATTTTGCCAGAAAGCACTGTGAAAACTTTGTAATCAACATGCTAATTAACAATAGTCTGAAAAGACTAATGACGAATACTACAACCAAGAGTCACCTAACTGCAGTGACATAGGTAGGGAACACTCCTCTGAACAGCCAAACACAACTTAGAGCATTAAATAAAATAATGAAAAGATCAATGTACCAAAGTAGAAAAAATACCAGTGTCAATTTTGCAAGTTTGCATAATTTTGCCAGAAAGCACTGTGAAATGGCAAAGAAAGGCAGGCAAGCCCAGCACTGCAGGACAGGAGGCCCTCCCTGCTTCTCGGTACCTGAGGGCGTGTGGGATGGCCCCACCACGCAACCCCTGCCTGCCCGTGCTGCTCCGCAGGTTGTGGGGACAGTCCACTGTGAAATGGCAAAGAAAGGCAGGCAAGCCCAGCACTGCAGGACAGGAGGCCCTCCCTGCTTCTCGGTACCTGAGGGCGTGTGGGATGGCCCCACCACGCAACCCCTGCCTGCCTGTGCTGCTCCACAGGTTGTGGGACAGTTAGAGAAAGGGAGAGGAAATCACAGTAAGCTCTGGCTCTTAATATTCAACTGCTCACATACTTTGACATTTTTATGCAATTAGCTTATTCACAACTCGTAACAAATAGCAAACCCACCTACTTTTATCTATCTACCCCTAATTTTAGAGGAAAGCCTCATGAATTCTCTTCTACTTCTGTATTGACAATGCAGTCTGATCTTGTATAAACCTGTCACTTCT